TTAAACGCGTCAGCCTACCAATCAACGTATGCTGTAAAGGGTGACCAAACATATTGTGTGATCGGTCGCCGCAACCGAATTACAAAAGTGTCTTTGGGGCACATTACATGTTCAACTTTCCTTCCGCGCAATACCTGTGTACGTAATACAAAGTCTCAAAGTTATTCGCTTCGCACGTAATTGTGAGCTGCAACGCGTGTGGTAATATATCGGAAAGATAGATGAAAATACGTCCATGATCGGCCTTTTTTAATGTATGGAATCGGTCTCTTCCGAAGTCACGCAATCGACCTTTCCTCCGGCTTCTAATCCGACGTGCGCATTTTCCTCTCCGCGTCTTTTCCATTCAATTCGCATGGTTTCGCCACTACTTGGATGCCTTGAGCACACATAACGCAACATCCTTTCTGATGCCTGCGTAAGCAGTGTGTTGCGCAACATTTTATTCACAAGCCTCTCTATGTTGCTCTTTTTTCGTCTCAACTGATTTCCGTTTGGAATATCGTACAGGATAAGCGTCAGATGAAACAAATGTTTTCCGGGCACGTGGTGTCTCCCACTTGTTCGAGCTGTAACAGAGGGCGCAGCGTCGCAATCTTAGCCACAAGGCCTATAAATTCCTCGCCTGCGGCTCACACGTAGACCATGCTTTTCTGCATCGATGAGTGCTGATTTCGCATGTCCTCGGGTAGGTAGCCAGAATTTAAAGGACGTTAGGGTCTTTCGTTGGATACTCCAACGCAAAAGGTTTGCTTTGTCTGTCTATCTGTTCTCTCTGTGTCTACCTGTGTCTTCCCAACAATTCAACCACGTAGTGAAACTTTAAGCCCATGCTCAACGCTAACCCTTGTTGCTCTGGTAGCTGCGTTCGTACTAGTGAACATTGTCAATCAAACAGCAAATAATACGCACATCTGAGGTGCAGCATCAAATACGTAAGTGTTAGGTAGCGTGTTTATTTCTATAAAAAATGCATAGGTACGTAATTTTAAAGACAACGGTGTTCATTACACATCGTTGACAATGAGACACATGTGAACGAAACAGCGGGTGTTTCGTATACGATCCGCTAAAATGATATGGCGCTGCCACCTGGCAGTGGCTCTGCGTTCTAAAAAGAAATTTTGTTTCTTCCCATATTGCTGATAATGATGATGATGATGTCGTCTTCAAGCAGAATCTTTTCAGCAATTAAATATTGTGCTTGATTTTTGAATGCATCGTCTACGGGAGTGACTTAAGCTTGACGGCTTTTCATGCTTACGGCGCTTCACACGTCGTTGGTGAGACAGCTACCTCAAACCGAACCATGTTTATAGATCGCGCTAGTTAGAACCCCAGGTGGTCGAAATTTCCGGAGCCCTCCACTACGGCGTCTCTCATAATCATATGGTGGTTTTGGGACGTTAAACACCACAAATCAATCAATCAATAGATTGCGCTAGTTGCAAGATAACAAAAACGCGAAGGTTGTTAATTCGGCTTTCGGGTATTTACACGGACGCTAAGAAACAGTGCGACTCGAAAAGGGGCAAAATTTGGGAACACGAGCAAACCATGATAGGTGTTGCAGAATTAACATTGTATGCGATATTGTAAAGACTTACATGTCTCCAAATTGTATTATATATGCTGGTGACACATTCTTGTTTCTTACAGCTGGAAATCATAAAAACTCAATAAAGGACGAAAAATTAGGTACTGGTGAAGTTGGCCACGTGGACAAGCATTAACTGTTTAAACACACGAAAAAAAAAACAAAAGCTGTATATTCCAAGCCTAAACATAAATGAACCCCTTGTCGTGTCCCTTTAAAACTGGGCACTTCAGAGCTTCAGACAGTACAGCGTATCTTGGAATGATTTTCAATGAACACATGTTTTGGAACGCACATACTGAACAGCTATCTGTAACTACATGAAGGATTTCAGGCATATCACTGCGGGAGTGTTTCCCTCTACTTAAGGCAGTGAGACTTCTCATCTATATATCCTTATTTTTATCTTAGATTATTCGCAGTCATGGCTTACGATCACGTTAAGAATACCCGCAAATTGCACGTCGTTTACAGAAAAGATCTCTTTGTGTCATGGCAAATGTTCTTTGTTGCAGTCACACCACTCCCGTATTTCACATTAACCAACTAACTCTACATGAATACTACTGCGCAATGCTTATTAAATTCTACCACGTAGGATTAAAAGGTGACCACCTATTAGGAACCACCACAAATTTGTTCAAGACGTCCGTTTAGATCACGTGGTTTATCCCACGCACTCGCACTAACTACGGAAAAGAACTGCTTCGTTTTCTCTTGCCGTATCACTTGAATACTATATCTGCCATCTCAGTAACATTACACTTCATTTCATTTATTTTACCCTCAGAGTACATGAAGGCGTTGTATAGGTGGATAGGTTTACATAACAACAAAAAATGTGAAAAATACAACATATATTGATGATTGACATGAGGAGCTTAATGTCTCAAAACCACCTTATTTTTTATAAGGGATGTCGTAGTGGAGGGCTCCGGGAATGGAGACCACCTGTGGTTCTTTAACGTGCACGCAAATCTGAGCACACGGGCCTACAGCATTTTCGCCTCCATCGAAAAGGCAGCCGCCGCAGCCGGCATTCGATCCTTGCGACCTGCAGGTCAGCAGCCGACTACCGTGGCCACTAGACCACCGCGACAGGGCAAAGATACAACATAATAATGGAAACACATGTTCAAACAAGCTAAGCAATGCCATAGTGAGGACGTAGTCGGTTAATGCAGGTTTGAATGATGAAGAATCGTTGATGCAGGTGATGGAGGGGGAAGGCGGCTCTACGCAGCACTCGTTTTTGGTAAAAAAGAATCTAAAAAAAGAACGCACACACACACATTAGTGCAGCAAAAAGGAATAAAAACTTTATACTTACGATTAAGACTCGACGATACGTATGAAGGTGCTGGAATGAGTTCCTGTTTAAGTGAATTGTTACGGTATATGATGTTTTGGAAAGATATAGACGACAAAATTTCTCGTCTATGGCTAAATCACATTAGTGAAACGATAGTTGTGCAGAAATATTTAATGAAATAGTTAATTAAGCGCACTGAACGATTCTGAACTGATTCAATTATGGTTGTTAATGTTATTGAACCAGAGTACCAACAGAAGAAGCATACTCAAGCTTGTGTGTAAATAATGTTTTGTAGAGTAGTATTTTGATTGATTGATATGTGGGGTTTACCACTGATCCAACCAGGAGCACGATATGTGGGGTTTAACGTCCCAAAACCATCATATGATTATGAGAGACGCCGTAGTGGAGGGCTCCAGAAATTTCGACCCCTTGGGTTTCTTTAACGTGCACCCAAATCTGTGCACATGGGCCAACAACATTTCCACCTCCATCGGAAATGCAGCCGCCGCAGCTGGGATTCGATCCCGCAACCTGCTGGTCAGCAGCTGAGTATCTTACAGCCACTAGACCACCGCGGCGAGGTCAGCGTAGTATTTTACATGACATGAAGTTTTAAAAAAGTTTCTGCATATGTACCCGAGAATTCTGTTGGCGTTGTTTGTGATGTTTTCAATGTGCACATGCCAAGAAAAATTATCGATGAGCTGAACTCTGACATATTCATATGATGTCACGTACTTGAGGTTGACGTTATTGATGGCATAGGCGAAAGATGTGGGTGAGTCGGGGCGACCCGTGAAGTGCATAATTTTTCATTAAGAACATTAATCATTGTGAGCACCAGGTTGAAATGTTATCCAAGTCTGATTGAAGAATAAAGCTATCATGCTGGCTAGTTATTTTGCTGGTATAAAACACATACAAAATTTTTCAAACTATCTGTTTCTCTCCTGTAAAATGGGCCGATGCCCAATTCTGACTTTGGTTTTAATCTCGTACTTCTTGTATCATTACATTCCATTATTAATTTGCTATGTATTAGAAATAATTACGATCACTTGTATTTTTTTCCTGTTGCAACTTTTCAGCTAAATTTTTTTTCAATCTTCATAATTGATTACACTTGTACAAACTGTCACTAAAAACTGCTTGCTCGTATTGTAAATTTTCATAGCTATAAAAATTCTCATCGATGCCACCCATCTGTAAGGGGTCGTGGTTCCAGTACAGCCCATTAGAGGCTTTTTGGCCACGGCCCTCAGAATACCGAATGTTGAAATAAATGATGTTTCAAAGCTTGAAAGATAGTAATATCAGTTTTATTCCGAAAGCCAGGCTTCGCTCCTTGCGTCAGCAAAACGCGGTGATAACCTGTTTCTTGCCTTTATGTCGGGAGTTACTAGCTTTGATAAACCAGTTGTTACGTCTGTTCCCTGTTGTAGTACCACCTTGTGCCACGTTTAGACACCGCCCATGTATTGAAAAAAAGAAGCAACGCATGGAACAGGCATATTTCACTAACGGCTTCTATCGACAGCAGGGTGCGCTCTGCTATCACCAAAGTGAGTATATAGTGGAGCGCCGCAATTCAGCGATTCTTTACGCATCCCCATCATTTTGACGTGCAATAGTGCGTAAACGTCCGATTGTTATTTCGTGACAAACTTCAGCCACTGAATGCCATTCGCGTCGCGGTTTACAGAAGTGGAACACAGGTGCGTGGCGGTTGCCTTGCGGAGAGAGCGCCCTTGTAGAACACTATACATTCATCGTGTAGTATCCGGTGTGTTCTGTACGTTACAGCAGTCTCTTTAGTTATTAACTGTAGTAACTGAGCCTTCCGTGTAACCAGTCAATTAGCATCGCTAGTATGTGTTATAGTACCATGCGTGTCAGCGAACAATTTGTCGTTATAGTCTCACCTGGCGGACGTTTCGAATGTCCGACCGTTGTTTTCGAGCAGCTTTATTACAGCTCTGAAGCATCTATTTTTTATCTAGGTTTTTATTGCGTGAACATAAGCGACGACCTTGGCGCCCTTGAATCGCTAACGTGGGGTGTGCTGTTTTTTTCTATTATAGTTCCACAATGGCCAGCTACGTCATGGACCTGGTGGAACAACTCAAGTCACAGGCCGACCCCCGCACAAAGACTTCCCTTTGATTGGAAACCCAACGATGGTGGTGACCCTCATCGCAGGCTACCTGTACGTGGTCAAGGTGTGGGGGCCCCGGTACATGGAAGACCGCAAGGCCTACGACCTCAAGCACATCATCATGGTCTACAACGCCTGCATGGTTATGCTCAACACGTTCTTCTTCTACAAGTTTCTCTCGCACTCATACCTGGGCGGTGGCTACAGCTGGATATGTCAAGGCATCGACTTCAAGGACCCGGGTTCGATCGCCATCGTGTCGTACTGCTGGTGGTACTTCATGGTGCGCATCCTGGACTTCGCCGACACGCTGTTCTTCCTGTTGCGCAAGAAGTTCAGTCACATCTCGTTTCTGCCACGTCGTTCACCACAGCCTGGTCGTCTGGAACGGCTGGCTCTTCATCACGTTCGGCGCCGATGGCCAGGGCATCATGGGCGTCTGCATCAACTCGTTCATCCACATCGTCATGTACACGTACTACTTCTTGGCTGCTCTGGGGCCCTCCGTGCAGAAGTATCTGTGGTGGAAGAAGTACATCACCACCATGCAGATCGTCCAGTTCGCAGTCTTCATCGCATTTGTCTCCGTGCCCCTGTTCAAGGACTGCGGCTACCCGCGCTTCCTCACCTACCTGGCCGCCTCCCAGTGCTTCTTCTTCCTGGTGCTGTTCGTCAACTTCTACATTCACACCTACGTGAGGACCAAGAGGGGTGAGGTGCACTTCTTCTGTGGCAACTACGAAGCCACTTCGCGAGCCACCGTGCCGCTGAAGGAAGGGGAGAAGGGCATGAAGAATGGCATGACCGTCATCGAGAACGGCGCCCTCACGAACGGCAACGGCCATGTGAACGGCTACATAAATGGTGTCGGTCTTAAGAAGAGAGAAGTGAAGATACGCACCCACTAAATCGCAGGAAAGGGCAAGACAAGATGGCATCGAAAGGTTCATTGGCGCATGCAAGCGACGTCAGCGAGCATCATTCAACGGGCTCGAAGTCGTCGGGACTGACAGCGCGTGCCTCGCTGGACAGCATTGTTCTCGTGGCGGTGTCAGTCAGCTGACCGGGAGCGTCTATTTATTTCCCAGTGTATTCTTCTAAAACATGGCGCCTTGCCGTGTTTATTGTAGTGCCGAGAAACGAACTGCATCAACAGTCCATGGACGTCCGAAGGCCTTCGTTTAAGGCCGACGTGACGCGCACTCTGTCAAAGCTGTTTCGTCGCTTTTCCTTGTAGTTAGGTGCATCCCATCGATATCGCGCGCTTGCATGTGTTGGCGTTACATCGATGGTTTTTTGATGACCGATTAGGGACCAGCGAAATGCTCATGCGCGGACTGAATATAATTTTTTGTCACTTCTCGTTTAGTCATATTGCACGTTCATCCGTCATTACGCGCACGTTTTAAAACATTGTTACTTCGCCACCATTTTTTTTAATGGCAAACTACGGCAGCGCAGAAGCCACAGAAGCTGTGATAGCAGCTAGTGTGTTTAGTGTGCTGCGGTGATGTCTTTCCGCTATTGTGCAGGGGTATGTTGCGATTTCATTGTGTCTCTTGTTTTAGCGCTGACGGCCAACTCTTGTAAATAGACATTTGTTGTACTGTTGTATTCTTGATGAATACACACGTTTTCATCAGTCATAGTTGCATTTTCTTTTCACGTTGACGACTTTGTGTTTGCAGTCTTGTACGAACACTCGGAGGGGACAAGTGAAGTACATGCTGAACTGAAAAGGGGGCAAACAGTTCCTGCATGCATCGGTAATTCCTTCTAGTGACGTCTACCAGAAAAAAAAGCTCATCTTGCTGACGTCGCTAATCACTTATTGTTCTGTCACCGCAAGTAATATAAGCATGCAGCCGAAACGCACTTTTTTCTTGTTTTGTTCTTGAACCACGTTTCGAAGATATAACGACTTCGCAAAACAGGCTTACTTGAAATACCCTTCTTTTCTGCGGTACATTTTTTTCCCTTTTTTATCTAGCTCATGTCATATTTGCTGCTTGCGAAAGACTCCGTGGCTGGGTGTCCTAGGGGAAAAAAAAGTCATGTTACCGCGCGGAAGTGAAGAAAACGGCTCTCAATAGGCGTGAAAGTTAACCAAGTTGTACTTTAAAAATGTGCCTGCACCACCCAGACAATAAACTTGTGAGCTTTAACATTTCCGTAATCACGATCTTATTACGACACACTTCCTGTATTGGGTGACTACGAAGAAATTTAAACCTGCTTTGTGCCATGAAAAAGCAGCTGGGTGTGGTTATAGATGAGCTTTTAGATTTCGCCGGCAACAAAACACAGCCGCTCAGGTGACTCATGACACTGCAATGCCAGCCAGCCATAGTGGCTGGGAAAGTGGTGAATGCTGTAGCATTTACTTAAGGTGGGGCATCTGGTACGTACGGCCGCCCACTTCGTATCCATAGCAATCGCACACAGGGCTTCAAGGGAAGTGTAAAAAGGCAGCAGCTTGAACTGGTCGCAAGCACCGTCTCGCAATCTGGTAAATATCGATTTCGTGATATCACAGTTCCTTGTCACGATTGTCTTAAAAGCAAGCTAGACTGCTTGACGGTACCTCGTAAACAGAAGACTATTCGTTTTTATTTCAAATAATTTTTTCCTGCATCACTGCGGAATTAGTACAAAAAGGAATGATCACGAGAATGGCAAAATAGTTTGTGGTATTCGTGAATGGACACGTACAATGATGCAAGCAAGAGAAAGAAAAGGGAGGGGGGGTAGGCAATAGGGCATTTCTTATTGGTTCAGAATTTTGTCGTTCCACATGTAGTTGTGTTTGTGCTAATGTACCCAAAGAGGTAGTCCCTAGACACTTAATTCATTAGTGGTGTCTCGGCTGACCCGTAAACCACGCTGGAAGTCGTGACAACTTTTGTATCACTGGTGGCAGCTTCATGGTACGATGAGGAAGTTTTTACGAATTTCGAGTTTTTTTCTTCTTCAAAGTAAGATATTGTATGCTCCCATAAAAGCTGTACAATTCTTGTCGCACTTGTAGGGTGGTCTATAGCTTACTAAAACAGAAAAAGACGCGTGATGATCGTGGAAAGGGCGCGAAACAGTTTCTGATTTTGCATCCTTTATACGATCATCGCGTGCCTTTTTACATTCCTGTAGGCATGTCACAACTTCACCAGCAACAAGTAATACTATATATAGTTTTCCAGATTCGATTTACCCACGTCACCTCAGTTATTTAATTAAACTCGTCGCGCTGTTGTAAACAGAAGGCTAAATCAATGGCACCATTACAGAGCCTTTGTTTCAAAGTTCACTCGTGATTCTCCTAAGATAATGTTTTCATTTTTCAATCATGATGTAACGTCACGCGTTCGATCGCGGCCATGGCGGTCGCATTTCTATCGTGACGAAATACTGGAGATCCCCTTAATTGTACTGTGTAATGTTACTGCACGTTAAAGAACATCTGCTGGCCGAAATTTACAGCGAGTTCCGGAATGCGGGCCTTATGATCATATCAGGGCTATCGCACATAAAGAGGCCGGATATTATCATTAAATACTTGGGGGGGGGGGGGGGGGGCATTGTAGTCCTGATTATGAATCCGGCTTCTTTTCAGGTGTCTCTTTTTACGAACAGAAGCGCGTTGTTGTTCGGAAGCGTGGGACTACGCCCTACTGACACCCGATGCTAGTATTGGATTCTCAAGTTTCGATGTTTCAAACATATATGTGGTTATAACAGAAGAAAAGAAAAGTGCCGACCCGTAACTGTCTCTCCCTACAAGGACACCTCAACAGGTCAGCACAGGAATGGGGAATAAAAGATATAGGGAGGGAAAATAGCTCAGCTGAATTTGAACCACGCGGTGAACTGATTGGAGCTGCTCTGCTGCCCTTGCAAGCCAATTCAGGGATCTCGGGTTTCGCAAGTCCTTTTAGAAGACTCTGCAAGCACACTGTCGAAGAGGAAAACAATGTATGAGGAGAAAAGTGCGACCTCGGAGACAAATGAGTGAAACTGGAGGAAGTTGCTGCGCGTCTCAGACACAATGGGCGCGGCTGACACAATGGAACGGCATGGCGAAGCTACGACTTCCGATGTCAATGCCGCTCTATCGGCTCCAACCTGTTGAAGCATTAACCAAACCACCCAAGGACGGATGCCCGGGCGGCGCTTTCGAAGAGCGCAGTCTCGTCATGGGCACGGCGAGTCATTACATGACGGAAGCAAGGAGGCAACGGAAAACCGTATTATTCGGTAAATGTGGCACCGAAGGATGTTCATTTGCATCAACGTGAGCTGCTACTACTGGAGCCGCTGCACGTCGGAACAGAGCCGCGATTCGACGTACAAAAAGCGAGCGTCGAGTAAACATGCGCATACACAATGGGTTGGAAAGCACAACGAAGCGCGATCACTACAGCGTGTGGTAACCAGTATAGCCTGTGTCATGACGACACTTGGAAATGAAACGTGGGCGCGTAATGTCCCGACGTCAAGGTCGCATGCCAGCTTGCGACAGAACATAGGCAGCTCATGTGTGCATGCGTTCAAAATGCTACGTGCGTGTTTATTACATGAACGTACGTGTTTATTATAATGATGGTTTTCTAATAGGCCACAGAGTTTTTTTTGCGTTTGTTAAGCTAACAGTTGTCCGCATTTTTAGCGGACAGGTGATGGGGTTTACCCATTGTTTGCGAAGCATATCCGTTCATGAGGCCCCACTTGCGTTACCATGGATCCCAGAATGGAAGCATCAACTTTGCTTTAAATTTGAACGCCTGATGTTTCATTGAACTTGTGATAAGAAACTACGACGCCACTGTTTCAGAACAGGGAGCTGTCACCTTAGCAAGCTTTGTTTTCTCGAGTTAATTCAAGGCAACAGTAGTGACTGTTGGCTGGAGTAGGCCTGAGAACGGTTCCGGGAGGAGTCGTTTCTCCGTGTGTCGTATGGCCTGTATTTGTTAGTTCTACAGTGCAGGTCATTGAAGGCTGCAATATGTTTTTTCTTTTAGAAGTGGTACCCAAAGCCTCTCGAAGGAGCTCCACTCCATCTCCTTTTATCTCCGTTAACAAAGCTTACGCTGTTCGCGTGCCGGTTGCGTCAAAGTGGCTGATGCGGGTTGCTCCATCTCCCGCAACTGCTGACGCTCACCTCTAAAAAATGAAGAAGAAGAAAACAGTAGCATGCGATGCATGAAAACAGTCTTCTCAACCTTCAGTCACTCTCCGTAGCGCGACCTTGAGCTCGCGGAGGCGAAACCGGTGAGAGTACCTCGCCGAACTTCTCGAGGGGTTCATCAAGGGGCACTTGGTGGGGGAAACGAGAAGCGCATGCAACGCACTTGGTTGTAACGAGTCGCTCAAGCCTTGCGAAGCGCAAACCGCATCGTTAAATGAAGAAACGTAAAGCGAAGTGCACGTGTCCGAGTTTATCGAGCAAAAGGACAAATGGCAGACGACGCAGCGAGTACGCACGCGCGGATTAGTGCACACAAGCAAAATGCAAACATAGGCGCGCTTGCCGACATTCCAGAGAGAGTGAATCCAGGTCACGAGCAATGATCGAAAGGTAAAAGAAAAGAATAAAAGAAAAGCTGCCGGACCATCCCGAGCAAGTTTGCGGATGGTAGAGTGGTGAGAGGGTGGTTGAGAGGCTCGGTGGGCAGGGCGGGGGCCCGTAAAGGCCGCGCTTTCGGAGTCCCCGTATACATGTGGCCGAAGTATACGCAAGGATGATTTCACTTACACTCGCCCTTCGGGTTATGCGCATCGATAGGGCGAGTTGTGCAGGTATGATGCATCATATGTCCCAGTCTTTTCTTTTCCTCGTTGTTTTCGAAAACGTAGTTCATGATTTTTTAAATACTGTTCATCTCGGTCATAACATGCATGGTAAAACTGTGCTTACAGAGTGAGTAAAGAAGCACTAAGAAAGAAAAAGAAATACGACTGGTTTCTTAAACTATGGTGGACAAGGAGATAATATGAGTAGAGCAACGATTAGATTAATTGACGACACAGTGAATTAACGGACAGCGCAGCGCCATGCAACGACACAGGTCTGTGTAAATACTTTTGAAGAAAATAAAAGTACATGCAGTGAATCAGAAAATTATAGCAAAATAGCATATTCATTCCCACGCATATCCATGCACGAAGTAAATGATATCTAAGGAGTCAATGATGACGAGTGCGGCGAAGCGTCCTTCCATCCGTCCGTCCATCCCTCCGTCTGTCCGTGCGTTCGTCCGCCCACCCGTTCGCCCATCCGTCCTCTGTCTATCTGTTTGTCTGATACTTCAGCTTACGCCTGACGCAGGAGCTTCGCCCCTAAAATTAAGGCAATCACATGCTGAATTGATGTCGAGTTAATTTGTATGGACGTTAGGCGCGGGAGCCAACAGTATTTTTTTCTTGGGGTGTGTGACACCGAGTTGCATCGCTGTGGAGAGGAGGTGCGCTAGAATTGCTTGCGTGGTGCTGCAAGTCATGGTGCGGCTGCAATGGGGGCAAGGTTTTCATACAAAGGCCGACGCCCATGACTTGGAAAGGCGTATACTAACCGGAAGTACAAAATTATCTCGTCTTGCTAATCACATGCTCCGACGAACCTGTCTGCAATATAACCCATTTTTCTTAGTAA